TGGATGCTTTGAGCCGTTACATAATTTAGCTCTGTTCCTTGCATTTCCCTTGACCACAAGGATTATCTGTCCCAAACAGGGCCAATTCCTTCAACCTGGGGCCTGGAATAAGGAGACATGGAGAGCAGAGACTGTGTAGCAGACCTGGAGCCACCAAAATTGAATGCAAGCAAAAAATAATGTCTATAGTTGCAAACTAATGAGATTTGGGGGTTATTTGTTACTTCATAAAAGCTGACTGATATAGGTTGTGATTTCATCCAGGCCTTTTTAGTGCACAGAGGCAGGAAGTGTATAGTTTTAGGAAGAAAAAAAGCATCATGAGTTCATACTGATATTTTCAATTCAAATATAACATTACAGGACTTTTACTTAACTTTTAAAAAAAATTACACATATAACTCTTTTTTCCTATACTGAAAGTTTTGATCTATCTATATTAACATAAAAAAAACATGATTTGCATTGTCCTGTAATACAAAGCAGTTTCAAAAGAACAAAACCACTATTTTAAATTACTTCAGTTTAAAATGTATTTGTAGCTTTATTTATCCTTAAAATATATCTCACTCTTCAGTGGAATGTTATGTCCCAAGCTCAGACTGGAATAATTCTTTGCTCTGTGTGGTTACATCACAGATTTGAAATACAGTAGGTTCATTTCTTTCCATTTGTTTTCAATTTTTGGAGATGGATGTCTTAGTGAATTTTATCTTTTAACTAGAACCCTTAAGTTTTCGAAGTCAAATTTAAGAGAAAGCTGTTCCATTCCTGCACCTTCCACCCATTGTGAATAGTTTTGATTTAACCTCCCAGTGTTTCTTTCTTACATAAAACGTAGCATGAAAAACTATACAGTTCTACACCTTGCTTTTTCCAGTTACTATATCCATTCATGGAGATCACCCTAATTCCTTTTATAACTACATTGCACATCATTCTGTCATTTATTCAGTCAATTCCCTATTAGTGGGTATTCGATTATTTTCAATCTTTTTTTAATTAAAATTTTGTTTTTAACTTGGAAAGGAGGGTAATTAGGCTTCTTTCTTTCTTTCTTTCTTTATTCAATTTTTTTTAATGGAGGTACTGGGGATTGCTAAGTACGCACTCTACCATTGAGCTATATACCGTCCTCCCTTCAATCTTTTTTATAATAAATAATTTTGAAATGAATAATATTATGTATGAATCGTGTCCTGTTTTTGTACAGCTTTGGAACAGGCTCCCAGTAGTGGGGTTGGTGAGTCAAAAGGCAGATATATAATTTTTCTACATATTGCTGGATTCCAGTCCATAGCAGATATATCATTACATAGCCCATCAACAGTGTGTGAAAATGCTTGTTTCCATACAACTTCAATAACAGAGCATGCAGATGAGTTATGTGTTTTTGATAATCTGGTAGGCAAGTGGTGTTATCTTTGTGAAAGTTTAATTTGTATTTCAAGTTATGTTGAGTAGAACTTCATGTCTGAAGAGCCATTTGGATTTTCCTTCTCAGAATTCTCTGGGGTTTGCTTGTGCATGCGTGTGTGTGTGTGTGTGTGTGTGTGTGTGTGTGTGTGCGTGTGTGTTTGTGTATGGGTGCATGCAGGCATGTGCCATTTTTCTATTCTGTTCTTTCTATTTTTATTTTCTTTTCATTTTTAGGTGCTCTTATATCAGTGACAATACTCTGGTTGAGGCTTAAATTGCAAAATATCTTTTCCCAATTAGACATTTATCTTTTGATTTGTTTAAGGTGTTTTATTTATTTATTTTTAATGCAGATGCTGTTTAGATATGTAGTCCAGTCCATGGAAATCTATACCATGCTTTCTTTTTTTGGCGGTGGGGTTTGGGAGGAGGTGGGTAGTGATCTTTTCATTTATTTATTTATTTACTTACAGTTAGATCTCTGATTGATTTGGAGTTCATCCCCATGTATGCTATCAGATTCAGATTTAATTTCCCTTAAATGACTGTGCAACTTTTGTAACAGTATTAAGAATTCTCTCTAGTTTGAGATGCTACCATTTTACATGTAGATCAATAGACAGATAGACATGGTGGGTATAGATAATCTCTATTTTTATATCTATCTATCCATCCTAAATTTCAAATGAACTTGGGCCAATTTCTGGACTTTATATTCTCTACCATTGGTCTGTCAGTCTCTTCATGTACCAGTCCCACAGGATTTTAATTGCAGATGCTTTATCAAATTTTGTAATATAGGGCCATTACCACCTCATTTCTCTCCAAGGGTATTAGTGTTTATTTTCCATTATCTCATTTGTTAATGTTTATTTTATGTACATTTTATAATTAGTGTTATG